GCACTGCTTTTATTTAAATAAAAAATTTGCCAGTGCAACAAAATGCACTGCAATTAGCTATATATATATATATATATATATATATATATATATATATATATATAAAAATACACACAAAAACATATGTCTGCACACACAGTTATGCACTTAATATAATATGTAAATCCAGCATACAAAAACTATGTTAAAAGAACATTATTAAGCTTGCAAAGTCTAGCACTCAAAAGTTAAGAAATGCCAGAATTTGTCCCTTGTGTGTTTGCATTATGATACAGTCTTGAATTACATGGTCACACAATTTTTTTCCACAGGACTGTTGACTCATTCAGTCCCCAGTGGCTCCTAGTCCCAATCTTCTTTCCCAGAGTCCTCTCAGTTTCTCCCTGCAGAGACTTTGGCCTGATCTCTTTACCCAACCAGTCCTGGCTCCTAATCAGATCTGTCTGATCCCCCCCCCTTCACCTTCTTCCCACACCCACTAGTTCTCAGTCGCAGGCTCCTTGCCCAGCCACTCCCCATCTCCCTGTGCCTCCTCATCTGGTTTCAGTCTCTTCTCTTCCAACTACTGGCTCACAGCACCACCAGCCCAGTCTCCACCATCCCCTTACTCCAGGGGTTCTCAAACTGGGGGTCGGGAGCCCTCAGGGGGTCACGAGGTTATTACATGGGGGGTTGCGAGCTGTCAGCCTCCACCTCAAACCCCGCTTTGCCTCCAGCATTTATAATGGTGTTAAATATATAAACAAGTGTTTTTAATTTATAAGGGAGGTTGCACTCAGAGGCTTGCTATGTGAAAGGGGTCCCCAGTACAATAGTTTGAGAACCACTGCCTTACTCCCATTCCCAGTTTCCCCTTTTCCCCCTCTCCCCACCAGCCTAAGGTTCCAGTCTTCAGCCAATCTATTCCCTGGTCCCCCAGATCCAGTTCTTGTCCCCTACACATTCAAATCACACAGCTTCCTCCTCTTTGCGCCTTCATCATGGGGGGATTAGGGTGAGGAGAGGGTCATTGAAAGCACAGGAGAAATAGGTTTCCTGCTCTCAATTTAGGTGCCTGGACTCTCATCCAGCCCTGGCACAGCTTGCAGCCCAGAACTACAATTGCTGGGAAAGTTCTGCTTAGCCCCACGCTGGACTATGCTTGGTGCAGACAGAATCTTGGGGAATTTAGCTGCTATAATTGAAGAAACTTAGGTGTAATGTGATTTTTTTAAAAGGCTTATAACTTGGCCAGATTTGGCCAGATTTTCACAAGGACAGTGAAAGCACATCTCTGACAACAACTGTCAAATTTCAAGCCCTTGCTCCAACGCATGGGGATGCTACAGCTTTCCAAAGCAAATGAAGCCAGAATTTTTTAATGTGGGCAAAACAATGTATTTTTCCCTAATCTTGTTCTCGGGAACAGTTGAATTGGTTTGGCTAAAATTTTCCCTAATACAAATCCACCTGAGGCAGATACCCATCATGCAATATTTCAGCCCAAATGGTGACAGTTTGGTGAAGTTGTAAATAATTGAAAATAAAGTCTCATAACGGAGTAGTTATAATATTATTGTCATATCTATTTCCTATAGTCGCCATACCAACCTTAAATATCTTACACAAAAGAAGAGTTGATACTTCACCACATACTACATATGTATATTTGAAAATTATAATACATGCATCTGTCCATAGGTGGAAGACGCATCCAAGATGTCTCAGGTGTTACTTAATGGCTAGAGGTCTAATTAACATGTTTCTGGAGGGAAGGTCTACCTGCCACACACAGCTGTTCTGAAAGACTCGAGGGGATTCAGGTAGCATGGAGGAATAATGCATGCAGTTGTAGTTATTCAGCAGCACATCTGAATCCAACATGTAAAGGCGGCTTTGTCTATTATGCTGCCTTTTCAGGCCAAGTTGATAATGCTAGTGTCAGTTTCAAGTGAAGCGTGTGCCAGATTACAGATAGCTAGTGCTGGCATTTGAGAGCCGTTAATTGTGAAACTTGAGAAGAAAATGGGCGCATTCTTTCTAAGACAGCTATTCAGGAGATGGCCTTTTTATCCCAGAGCACTGTGGGTTTCACTTTTATTCCCTTCCCACATAAAATGCATGGAGTGCACTGAGGCTCTTTCACTTGGCAGCTCCTCTATTGCATTCTTTGCCGGGGCTGCTTTGGCTTGTTAAAATGTGCCCCGTGTATTCAAATGAAATTGTTACTGCTGTGTGGTGCAACATAACGTGGTTTGACACTAAGCGCCCGTAGCTACAGAAAACAGCCTTTTCTTGCATTTATGCTTTCAGAGACAAGAGTCTCTAAAGGCTTGCTGCAGACATTCGCTTAGTTAAATCTGAATGAAGCCAAAGTGAACGATCTAAGTTGCTGTCTTTGTGCTCGTGGAAACAGCCCATCCTACATGATATGGCAGTAAAAACTGAGCTACAAAAGACTGTCTCATGGTTAGAACCCAGAAGGGACAATTTTAATGGTTTCACCCAAAACAAATTAACAAAAGATTTTGTACTGCTTGGACTATTAATCAGCCTATTTTCTTTCTCAGTTTTTTTTCTAACTCTTGGCAAACTCCTATCCAAGGAGATAAGCTGACCCTCTCAGCGCTGGGTTAAGGCTCTAGAGAATATATACGCTCTGCAGAATGTTGTTCTTTCCCCCCTTACTAGTCTGTGGTAGGAGTTGTATAGGAATTCATTTAAGAAGGATCTTGACTTGTGAGAATGAAGTAATACTTAAGTCATTAGAGTCTCCTAGCTGAAAGTATCAAAGGGGTAGCCGTGTTAGTCTGGATCTGTAAAAGCAGCAAAGAGTCCTGTGGCACCTTATAGACTAACAGACGTATTGGATCATGAGCTTTCGCGGGTGAATACCCACTTCTTCGGATGCACACCTAGATCAGAATCAAAATATGGAACGAGTATTGAATATAATCTTTCAAGAGAGCTCTCCTGAAAAAAAAATCCACAATGTGATATCTGTAGTTTCTTTGCTGCCTAGTTATGAGATGTCATCCCTGTCCCCCCTCCCCAAACATTTTAATTCCTATTGTGCAGCATGGGCAACTGTTCTCAGTATCAGTTAGCCTGCTGAGGGGTCTGTTTAGGTCCTGTAAAATGGCTTGTACATTTCTTAAAGTGGTATAAACTCGGCCCAGGATTTGGCTCATACCTTTGTATTCTTTATAATCACTTCAGTCCTATAGGTGCTTATTTATTATTACTGCTGCAGTCCTATGGATGTCTTAGAACTATGATTCACAATTATATCAGGTTAATGATGAGTCATTTCACCAGGACAAGATCATGTGCAGTTATGTCTGTCTCCCGCCAGGGCTTGGACTCATGTAATTTACAAGTACAAATTGCTGTTGGTTTTGTTTTATAATCAATTTTCCATAATTTATTTACTCTGTAATAATGAAATCATAGAAATGTTCTCAATGAAAGCTTCTCAAGTCCAGGCCGCTATGCTTAGGCAGTCCCATGTATACCTAGATTATCACTGACAGCGGGTTATCTAACCTCTTCTTAAAAACATCCAGTGATGCTGATTCCACAACTTCCCTTGAAAGCCTGTTCCAGTGTTTAATTATCCTTATAGTTAGAAAGTTTCTCCTAATATCTAACCTAAATCTCCCTTGCTGCAATCGTTTCTTGTTCTGCCTTCAGTAGATATTGACAGCAATTGATCACCATCCTCTTTATAACAGCCCTTAACATATTTGAAGACTTTTATCAGCCCCCCTTTAGTCTTCTTTTCTCATGACTGAACATACCCAGTTTTTTAAATCTTTCCTCATAGGTCAAAAGCAACAGACAGTCCTGTGGCACCTTTAAGACTAACAGATGTATTGGAGCATAAGCTGCATGCGTCTGATGAAGTGGGTATTCACCCACGAAAGCTTATGCTCCAATACATCTGTTAGTCTTAAAGGTGCCACAAGACTCTCTGTTGTTCTTTACAGATCCAGACTAACACGGCTATCCCTCTGATACTTGACCTCATAGGTCAGGTTCTCTAAAACTTGTATCATTTTTGTTGCTCTCCTCTGGACTCTCTCCCCTTTTGTTCACATCTTTCCTAAAACGTACCTCCCGAAACTGGACACAATACTCCAGTTGAGGTCTCAGCAGAGCCAAGTAGTGTGGGACAGTTAAACTCCTGTTAGTACATCCCAGAATAATATTACCCTTTTTTGCAAATGTCTGCAATTGTTGGCTTATATTCAATTTGTGATCCACTCTAATCCCAAGATCCTTTTCTGCTGTACTACCGCTTAGCCAGTTATTTCTCATTGTGTAATTGTGCATTTGATTTTTTTGCTTGTTCTTCAATTTATCCAGGTCATTTTGAATTTTAATTCTTTCCTTCAGAATACTTGCAACCCATCCCAGCTTGGTGCCATCTGCAGATTTTATAAGCATGTTCTCCACCCCATTATCCAAGTCATTAATGAAAACCTTGAATAGTACCACATACATGATAGACCCACTAGTTTCTTCCTTCTCATTTGGCAGCAAACCATTCATAACTACTCTTTGAGTAGTTTAAAAAAAATTGTGCACCCACTTTATAATCCTGAATTATTGTCATTTTACTCCCCTTCAGTTTTAGCTTAGATCCTGTATCTTTTGCACATTCTTTGGGGGCATTTTGGGTGCATCAGAAATTTGGAATCAGGTCCTGAGCTTTTTCAAGAAACATTTGACATGTCCTTGTTTGAGATGCTCCCTAAGACTCAAAAGCAAGCTGTTCACTGCCACGGTTCCAGCCTGCATGCAGCCAGGAAAAATGCTGCAATGCTTGATAGTGGCAAGTTCTCCTTGCTAGCTAACACCATATTGTAATGAACTGCTCCACCTGCATCTCTGCAGAATTCAGCAAGAGCAGCTTTTGAGATTTCTCTCGACATCTGTGTCGGGCCTTCCTTTGCTGACTGCACACTTTCATAAAACTCTAATAATAATTGCTTCCCCCTCCCCCTTTTCTTTTCCAGAATGGAGTCTACAGAAAAATGTGAAGTAGTAATTCAACATTTTAATGGCAAATATCTAAAAACTCCACCTGGTGTACCAGGTAAGTGTTTCCATTTCTTCTTCACTAAAATAACATAAACATTCCTGAGGCATATTAGCCGATTTAGATTATAGGACTGCTGGAGTACATGCTGAGAGTTGCAATATTATAGGTTTGCTGTTGTGTCTCCCCATCTAAGCAAACACACATCGTTTATTATGAGCAGTGATCATTGTTTGTTTATTTTTGCTTTTACCCTCCAATCCTCATTGAATTTACAATGTTGGCCCTGCCCTCGTTAGTACTATACGAACATTTATGTATGACAAAAAAGAAGTGTAAATAATCACTGCAATAATTTTTACTGTATAAATTTTCCATTTTTATTGTATGGATTTTGTTTGAATTTCTCAATTGGGGCAAAATCCAGATAGATAAATAGTAGTGGTGTTGTAATGTTAGTTTAAAAAAAACAAACAAACAAACAACGAAGGCTGAACTGATATTTCTGTGCTTACTGAGATTAAGGTGATAGGGGTTTCTAAACCTCTTAGCATTTTTGTTCTCCTCTGGACTCTCTCCAGTTTGTCCACATCTATCTTAAATTGTGCTGCTTGCAACTGGACACACTACTGCAACAGAGGCCCCAGCAGTACCAAGTAGAGCAGAGCAACTACCTCCTTTGTCCTACAAACAACACTCTGTTAATACATTCAAGAATACCTAAATACCACACTTTTTTCTGATTTATTTTTTCCCCCTAGTTTGTTTTACCTTCCACATTTGACAACACTTTGGGTGAAATCCTAACCTTACTGCAATCAGTGGCAAAACCCCCATTGACTTCAGTGGGGCAGGATTTCAATCTTTGTGCTTAGTCAATTTTGCTATGGTCAGTTTCTCCTGTTGCTTGTCTGATTCTTAGAAGAGGGGAGATTAAAACCTAGGAATACAACAGTTGGTAGAGGATCTCAAGAGTATTTGTAATATCTGCAGCTACTATAGATTAATTCATTTAAAGTTGCCTATATTCCTGTATTTGTCACTGTCTCCTTAATAACTTCAGCTTTTAGGGTATCTACATAATACATGCTTTTTGTACTTATCTTTTGTTCTTGCAGTGACTCAATTAAATCTCATCATTTTCTGTTAGAGGCAGAAAATTTAGCATCATCGTATGTTTTCAGTAGCATGTACATGCCACACATAAGGCTCTGACAATGGGCCTCATATGCCTCTCTGGCAGCACATATGGGAGGTAAAGGAGTGACAGTGTTCTCAGTGAGAATTCCACTGGTGCAGAAGCCACATAAAGGTGGCATATATGGCTCCATGTTGACTCCCTCTTCTCAGCTCCCAAGGGTGGCAGATGGGGAGCGGATGATGGGAGAGCAAGTGGTCATAACACTTTGCAGGCCATCCCATCCCCTGAAGCAGGCGGAATCAGGGGCGATTCAAAGGTTCTCAAAGCCACTTTTCCAACACTACCTGCTCCTGCACTGTGCTTCCCCTGATTTTATTTCTGGGTTTTCTAGCTACTTTCCTATTCAAAATGTTTTAAGGATAAATACAAAAAGGTACTGACTTCAGGGTTTGCCTTAGGGGGGTGAATATTTGCTGTTGATAAATTAAGGATGTTGATGACGACAATGTGGAAAAAGAAACTGAGAGCTGAAGACATATAGTAGGTGCTTAACCATTCAGCTGTGGATGTTTTAAATAACTACTCATTCATCACTAGCCTGCATAGCAATGTATAAATTGTTATGGCTTGATTTTGCTGATTTCATTTAGATATATTTGTCCAAGGAATATAGTCAAGTTGGAAATAATATATAATGTATGTGGGTTATATATACATTCAGACGTGTATATACACAATATATATATGAAAGATGATGGCATTAAGCTATGTATTAATAATTTCCATCATAGCATTGTCAGATACTTCATTCATATCTGCTTTTCTTCAGAGCCAGAATGACCATATTGCAGGAGTGATCAAAATGAATCTTATAGGCCTAATTAGGCCTACAGTTATGCAGTTTGGTTGACAGTCACCCTCATTTTTAATGAAAAATTGCAGCGTGCAAAAACTACATGTCTTATCATGGAATGATACATCTTGGTCAATATGGCCTCTGCTCAGATCAAGAGGGAGCACAGTATGCTGGAACCTGTAATCTCCATGAGCTACACTTACATTTCATTGCCTTCCTGCCAATTGATAGCACATTAAAGGCCCTTGCCAGTCAGTTTCCTTTTGGGAGAAACCAGTGATATGGAATCTTAGAGGGTTTTTTAATTTTTACACCATATATGCTAGTCCTTGAACAGAGGTGGTCACAAACAGCATGTAGGCAATCCTTTCTTTCAGGAATCTCAGCCAAAACCCAATGCTCATATTTCAGGAGCAACTCTGCCCACAAAGTTGACTCTTGCATAAAAAACCTCTACATCACAAAACTAGCAACAATGCAGCATTTCTTCAAAGACTGAGTAGTGCTAGCACAGTACGCAAATGAACTGTGACAGCACTACCTTGTGACTTCCGCCATACCAACATTAACAATAAATATGCAAACTATGTTATGCAAATTAGGCACAGCTGTCAGGATCCTAGCTTGTTGTCAGTATCATCATCTGTTGGGCAGTTTAGAAATCACTGTCATAGTCACTCTGCTGAGTCTGAGTGCTTGACAACACTGTTTCTTAGCTCCCAGTTCTGCAAAAGACTTACACAATATGAGTAGCCCCACCATACTTTCTGGGACTACTCAGAGTATGTGAAAGTAACCTCGTGGGAAACTCTTTGCAGGATCAGTGTAGTTTTCTAATGAGTTTTCTTGTTTTGAGATGTTTCTTACTGTTTACTACCATTAAACTCTTTCTTATACATTGCATGTTTCCTTACATGGAAAACAAACAATATGCTAATTAAAATAGAGTTAACTGCACACCTACTGTATACAGTAATTGAATGATGTGATGTTCATATGAATTATAGTAAAATCACCTCCATGCACAAGTATGTAACTTCTAACACAGGCTATAATATTCCATTTTATGGACTTCTCTCCTTAGAGTATTTACTGACAGTTTTTCTGATCCAACTGATGTAGGTAATCTGTTTGAAACATGGCATATGATAGATTTGTGCTGTATCACATTAGGGGCAAAGAAATACATACAAAGGCCTTACTTTTGCCATTTCTTCCTGTATGCATATAGTGGGTTGCAATACAACCCTATCTAATATCATAGCTACACCCGATGGAAGCACTGGGAATAGCAAGGACTCTGTTAGTGCAGGGTTTCAGTCATTATAACCCCACACACTCTATAGGCAAGTTTCAGAGTTAGTCAAGACCAGCTCACACATAGGAAAATTAGATTTAACTACAACTTTCTGAATTAATTTAACCCTATGCCTGTATTTCTTCTATTAGTAACTCTTTCTGCTTGATAGAACATTTAAATGATGCTACTGATAAGTTTCCACATTTAAACAGTGGTAAATTTTGCATTGCTTTATTGAGCCAAAAAGAGCTGTATAATAGAAGGTGAAAGTTAGAGACAAAGATATTTTTCTTTATTTTTAGTAGTCATTAATTTAGATGTCGAACAGGAACAAAAATGGGATATACAAAGCAATAAAAGTGGGACATACAACAAAATAGGAATCTTGATGAGATAGCATATTTATCTGTATTTCAAGCTGATAAAGTGGAATTGGATTTAAATTATCATGACTTGTTCGGGTCGTTCAGCTACAGTATATGAATCAAATCTTATTTTCCAAAAGAGAATTCCCATTTGAGAGAGTTGTTTGATGTGCTTTCTCCTTATTTATCCTGATCAGTGGTCATTTGGTTGCAGGGGGTCAGATAGGAAGTGATTTCTCCAATGTTTTAAGAGTTCTCATCTGAGTACCGTTCAGTTCCAGGTAAAGAATATTACAACTTATGGAAGAGCCAGTTAGAGTCATGAATAATTTGACTAATTTCACTATGCACTAGACCACCTAGAAGAACTCACTCTATCCTTGTAAGATGGAGATTTTCTATCTGCAAACACAGTTGATTTGGAATGATCAGTTTCATCGATTCACATGCAGTGACCATTTCAGCATAATTTTCAAAGCAAGGTGCTCCCATAATCCATATTTAAAAGTCAGTTCTGCTGTATTCATTATTACAGTTCTTAAGAGCTCACAGAACAAGTATGATCTTTTGAATTAGGAAGATATACATTTTTCCTTTCCTTGCCAGTAATATTAGTTTACTTTTTACTTACTGCTAAAAAGGTTTAGTCCAAGTTTCTTCATATTCACATAGTTTCTCATCGCTGCTTCTAGTCAATTTATACGTCCCTGTGATAAACCTGTATTTAAGCCTCTCGGTAAAGATAGAAGCATTTTGCTTTATCCTCCCCCTAGCAATTGCTTATCTTCCTGCATGGAAACGCAAGGAGAATCAAATCTCCTAGTGTACTTGGAAAATCACAATCAGAGTTTGAAAATTATCCTTCCAGCAACACAGTCATTGGCATACAAGGAAAATCAGCTCAAGTTATTGTGGTGACCTCTTTATGAATTTCAGTTAAAAGAAAAAATGAGGAACCTGATAACGTTAGCAGAGGTATGTCTCCATGTCTGTTGTTAAACGCAACTGCTCAAACAGTCATCTGATTGCTAGAAAAAATTAGCCTATCTGGTTAGGGTTAAATGCAGTTGATTCAGAGTTTTCAATTGGATTCCTAGCAGCTTAACAGAGATGGCACAGAACTAAGCAAATCTCATGTGTTGGACAACATCTCCTCTACCTCAAATTCCCTTTATTTCATCTTCTAGTTATCCATAAGCTTTTAATGAATACCTCATGGGTTGTTAGTCCTTTTTAATACCCTCGCAGAGGTGTGTCTGATCTGTTCACTTTTGAATACAGTGCACTCCCAACCTGTAAGTTCCCTTGGCATATGAGGTTTCATAACTTTACCAGAAGGAAAAAAAGGTTTCATATATAAGACCCAACTTCTGTGCAACTCTTGTAAAGTAAGGA